CTCTATCGAAATTGAATTGAACATTATCATCACAGGATGGAAACTAGTAGCAATCAGAATGACAAATTCTTGATCTGACAGTGCAAATTATAATGGAAACAATGGTTGACTATTCCGGACAAGGCCCATTTATGTAAGTAATTATGACACTACGACCAAGTATGAAAACGGGATCAAACTTCTATTCAAAAATGTTAGGTATACAGTGCTATAAATGAAGAAGACTACGCATATAAAAATCCCATTAAATTAATTCACATCCTCGGAATAAGCCCAAAGATTATTAGCGACTCGCTAAAATAACGCCCTATGAAATAACTCTTTTAAGATATTTTACTAATTTATATATAGAAATTAATTTTAATCCATCTTCTGTAATATATGTATATATTCTATCTAGTGAGATAAACAAGTTAGATATTTTAAGTTTCAAAACGAAGCAAAATAAATATTTGTGTCGGCGTATTTTTTGATATTAACTTAATCTCAATTCAGAATTTTTATATACCTTGGCAAAGCTAAGCAATGAAGCCAAAGTTCGTGACATCTGAATCTGAACTGTAGCAGCAGTGCTAGGGTCTGGGTGTTTGCCAGTACCGGGAATGGCGGCTAGAAGCGCAGCCAAGAGTTTTCCCGATGCCTGAGATAACCCAGCAGAAAGCAGCTGTGGACGAGTTGTAGGATTCGTCACATCAGGTAACTAGGAATAGGATACAGCAGGTTGGCGAAGTTAGATGCAGTTGAGGAGGATTAGGTAAAGTTATATAAATCAAGTGTATTCAAACGATTAGTTGCGTGCAAGAAAAAGGAATAAAAAAATTTGAGTGCAAGTGAAAAATGATTTAAGTTTGGCCAAATAATTAGAAAAACAAGATGTAGGTAAAATATTAGTCCAAGGTATATATATATATGTATATATATCGGAGTAGTGTAGCCAAGTGGAAGAGAAACCATGATGAAGCGCCACGAAAAAGGACAAAACGGATGCTTGATGCTCATTTAAGTTGGCCTTTCGACAGTCGCATTGCTGCTATGATATAAGAGCAGTCTTACATGGAAGGCTTAATAACAAGGTAGGCGGAAGACTTTGTTTTAGACATTGGTGCTGAATACATGCTGAAGTCCAATCGACCTTACCATTTTTCAAAATCAGATTCAGATGAAGAAAATCTGTGTAGGTAGAAGTAGCATACCTTAAGGCTGTTAGAAAAATCTATTAACATGAGAGTTTTTCTTGCTTCATATCTAGGGTGATATGAATGATGGCTTAAGACATGCGCTGGACTCATGACTGTCTTTGGTGCGAGATATCCGTCTGGTAGTCCTAATCGTAAGTTCCGTATAATTAAGTAGAACTGATTGGTCGACATTAGGATGGGTTAATGAGATATTCATAATTAGTAGCGAATTTCATCAAATGAAAGTAGCCTGTGGTGAGAAAGTCGGAAAGGGTAATTATATAACTATGAGAAGGC